CGCCGATAAAAACAAAAATCTTTATTTTCCTTTAGGGTGCTAAGGTCACTATAGTCAATCTTATTTTCACAATCTTCATTAAAAAGTTTAGCAAAATATCTCATCCATCTTTGTTGAATATCATCTTCTAAAAAAAGTACTTTTTTGATCTTCATCCTTAATACACTTCACTTGAACTAAATCCTTACTACTCCTATCTCTTTGTTTGGCTAACTTATACATATATCTTTCTCCCTCTTTAGTATCTAATCTATTATATAAATCACTAAAAGCTAATGTCTTTGCATCGCATATTGCTTTCTTAGCATCCTTACGAGCCACTTTATATATTTCCCAATTATCAGAATTTTTAAAATTAAACCAATTTTTATAACACTGCCGTTGCCAGGTCCCAAGTCCTGGATGAGAAAAGTGGAGGGTTGCGTTAGGTAGTCGACAGCCAGCGTAAAACTTGTCGAACAATAATGACATGAATCCTTTAAGAAATTGTGTTAATATATTATTTCTCATTGCCACAAAATTTATATTGAATATTTGGTCTGCATAAAAAAATGTTTAGCCTTAAAACATCTTATATATTATGGTATAAGCATCATTTACTAATTGGGCAAATGCAAGTGAAAAATTTTACTTTTGTTTGAAGCATATTTTAAGAAAATTGTATAAATTTTCATTAATATAATTAAGAATTAGTATTGCATGCAGTGATAAAATTAATAATATCACATATTTTTTTTAAAAAAATATAATTAAAAGTTTTATAATATAAATTTTTATTTTTAAAATTTTATTCACGTGCATTAAATGACGCCATAACCCATTATGATTGCGGTGATAATCAGCAAGAATTCGCTAGGAATTCACCTATATGTGAATTGGAGCAATTAACCCTAAAGTGATGAAAAATAGGCAATAATAGCTAGAACTTTTTATATATATATAAAAAAAAAACCCCTAGAACTTTGCATAGATGGATGAACGTCGTACACCGAAAAAAAGAGAATGATTATTGCAATTTAAATGGACTTATAATCTCTAGTATTATTGGACTTATAATCTCTAGTATGATAGGTGTTGCATTCTGGAAAATTCTAGGTAGTAGAGAGTGATTTAGATTAGCATCTTAATTTTATACGAAGATCCAATAGAAAAACAGATGAGAAAGTATGGTTTTAACGTTCATAAGCAACACCATAATTTTTACGTGGAAACTCTCGAAAAAGAGAAAAAACAACAGGGCTTGGCTCAATTTGAATGAATCCACTAGTGTTTGCAATTGATTACAAATGAGGTCATTCCTTATGAAGGTCTTGGCTCTATATAACAAATCTACATCATATAGAGTGCATTATAGGTGGGAGTTGGGAGAATCATTGTTGATATGTTCGTTTGGGTGGCAGGACCATAGCCGGCGGGCGACGGTGGTCACAAGGACTGTAGTCTGCGGGAGACGGAGGTCAGAAGGAACGTAGTTGACGATGATGGTTGGAAGATTATAGTCGGCGGGCGACGGAGGTCGAGAGGGCTAAAGTTGGGCGTCAGTGATCGGAATGACTGTAATCGACGGGCGATAGTGGTCTGGAGAAGGACCGTAGTCGGCGGGCAATGGTGGTCAGAATGACTGTAGTCGGCAGTGGTTAGCGAATAGACGGAAGTCTGCTGGTGGTTAGGGAAAATTCTGACGGTGGTCAGGAAGAACTCCTATGGTGGCCTCTGAACAGGTGGAACTCTGTTGGTGATTGACGAACAAGTAGAAGTCCGACAACGATCGCGAAGAACTCCAGCGGTGGTCGACGAACGGGCGAAAGTTCGACGGTGGTCGACGAACGGGCGGAAGTTTGGCGGTAGTCAACAAACAGGCGGAAGTCCGGCGATGGTCGACAAACATGCAAAAGTCCGACGGTGGTCGGTGACAAGGAAGCTTCCAAATTCTTCCATTCTCTTCCTACTTTCTCCTTTTTTCATGAGAAGAATGCGGTTTACTTATAGTTTGTATAGAGTGGCATCACTTGTAAATATGGGGAGGATCAAGGTCAAGATGGGAGTGATTTGAATGGACGGCTGATATTGATCATTTTGACCGTGGAACATTTATTGATTATTTGAATGTCTTATCTTAATGATATCAGAATTCAGTGATCTTGGGCTCGTTAGATTCGTCTCGTCAAGCCGCTCGATTTGACTATAAGCATTCCATGTTTGGAATTCATTTGGTAATCCAAATGATGGTTTGAACCTTTCAAGAGTGCTTTGAGTCTTCGATTTGGACCCATTTGGGCTCGGATTGAGTCGAAAGTGGTGTCGTTGGGTTCGTCTTTCCGAGACATTCAGTTTGACTATAAGTTTACTGAAATTCAACTCTATTTTGCTTCAAGATTTGTGCTTGGTCAAGACAAATTTTTTGTGATGTATTAATAGGATTACAGGAGAATTCATGAAATGTATGAACATTATAGATAGAAATATGATAGAAGAATAATAAGAGTTTCATCTAATTGTTTCAAAAGCAAGAGCAAATCATAAAGAGAAAATATAATAAGCCCCAATAGATAATTCTTGTAATAGCAAATTAATGCCTGAGATCAAAGTGTGCATATTTTCCAAAAATAATAATATCAGGAATCAAATTATCCAAAATAGTTAGCATCTAAATAATCAAAATTCTGAATGAAAAAGACTAATGACTAACCTCCATTTTTGAACATCTTGGAAAGTAGCCATCCAATGCTGAACTGCAAGATCCACTTTCAATGGATGATAGCAGGTCCGCTCCCAATTCAAACACTGCAGCATGAAATTTTTATTGCGTCCTCCCACCTGACGTAGAGATACGTCCTCCCACCGCCAAAAAACTCGATTTTTGCTCGGTATTGCTAGGTATTATTTGATAATAACAAGGAATATCATCATGTGAATACCAATACCGAGTTATACCGAGCTGTACCGAGCAATACCGAGCATACAAAAAAATACCGAGTTCTTTCTAGGAAAAACTAGGTATTTTTTTGTATTGCTCGGTATAGCTCGGTATAACTCGGTATTGGTCTTCACATGATGATATTCCTCGTTATTGTTTGGTATTGCTCAGTATTTGCTTGGTATTTCTTATTTTTTAGCGCGAATTTAGCTCTGGGAGGACGTATCTCTACGTCAGGTGGGAGGACGCAATAAAAATTCCTGCAGAATGCCACATCATAGCTAAGGTTAGTCAGCATAACAGCACATCAACATGAAATATTATATGAAGGCTACGATGTAATTGCCATCTTATTATTCCTTTAAAAGCAAGTTACCGAAATGTTTAAGCACAAGTTGAAACAAAATATGCATGACAGTGTGTAACGTCTTAGGAATGCAATTGACTTCCACATGCAACATATTTATGCCAGCAAAACTTGCAGAAAATGTATTGACTTCTAATGCAATTTAAGCTTCGTTTGGGACGGTTTTTTTCCTGCTTATTAAAGCAGCTTTCTGGTTCAAAAATTAAGAAGCAGGAAGAAAGCTGTCCCAAACGAAGCCTTAATCGAACTATAGGGAAACTGGGCAATTTAATTGGTGCTTCGTTTGGGACAGCTTTTCACCGCTGTTTTTTGACTGTTATCAACAATTTTTTTAACTAAAAAGTTGTTGTTGAAAGCAATAAGAAAGCTATCCCAAAATGAAACCTACATGTGTTATGAATGCAAGGTAATTTCATTTGTACATAAAAGCAATTACTGCAGCGCACCTGAAAGAAGAAGATTGAGCAGTCAACTTATCCAAAAGTTATGAAAAAAAATTAAAAAAAAAATATCAGTAAGTCAAACAATAAACAGAATATAAATATGTTTGAAGCACTCATATTATGCCTCAGTTCACAGGTCTAATAATTCGAATAAAATGGATCCTTTCCACAAAATAAGATCCAGGGGGTTGCATAAGAGACAAAACCAAAGATAGGGAGAAGCCTTCAAACATAGTAAAATTGCTGTCAAAATGATATCGAAATTATCAGTTTTGTGAATGAAAGTAAGTACTGCAGAAACAGTTTTTAGTCAGTTAGCTTTCCTGACATGCAATTCAGCCAAAAAAGAGGCCCTTATAATAAATATTGTATGCAACCACAGCAAAAAAAGGTATTCAATGAGCTTACAAACAGAAACGCACTTAGAAACGCAGATCAAATCAGAAGAGTTAAGGACTTTGAAAATAGTGATAAGAAAGACAGAGAATTGACAGCAGAAAACATGAAGCATAACCCTATGATGTAATTATCCTTTCGTTCATGGGCCAAAAAGTGAAGCTAAGGCTTTGCTTGGGACGACTTTCTTATTGCTTCTTAAAACAGCTTTCTAGTATAAAAATTTTAATTATTGATCTAGAAAGCTGCTTTAAGAAGCAGCAAGATCGCCGTCCCAAACGAAACCTAAATGAATTACTTTTACTGCATTCCTTCTGCATAATTATAGGCTAATAAATATAATAGCGCACGCACACATGCAGAACTCAAAGCAGATAAATTCAACTGCAATGCTAGTTCTTGAAGAAATATAACAACAAATGTACCTGCAATGAAAATGAAGAAAATGCCAAAGAGTCAAGCCAGAATAAAACAAGCAGTTCTGTCACACTGATTATACAGCTGTTGGCATTTTCAGTAATAACTGGATGTCCAGCATATCCCATGAATTCTCTTACTAGAACTTAGTAAGACATTGCAGAAATTATCATAATCAACATTGCAGTAATAACTGGTTATCAAGAGCACATGGAATTTTACTACCCCAGGGAATGATGGAGTCACGAACTCATTCATGAAGAGCTTTTGGGAAATTATAAACATCTGCACAAGACACTAAGCCTTCGTTTGAGATGGCTTTCTTCCTGCTTCTCAAATCAGCTTTCTAATACAAAAATTAAATTTTTTAAACTAGAAAGCCGCTTTAAAAAAGAAGAAGAAAGTCATCCCAATATAGTACTCCGAGTAGATTATCAAACAAGGCCAATATACTGTACAGCAGGTCCAACTAATAGGTCATGGCCTAATTGCAAAGCCAGCTGAGAAGGTATCCAGTTAATCTTCATGTGGAAGATTACTTTAGGCCTAGCCTCTGAAGATGTTGCTGGTGTTTAGTAACAGCAGCCTTATCTTCAGCTTCTCTCTTGAGGGCTCTTTTCGCTCGCCTTCCAGTTGGTGGTGCATTACTAGCAACTTCTTTCATCTTTGGCTGGCGAGATGGACCGGCTGCGGAGTCCTCCGATGACCGCCGATTCACAGGCCTTGCCTCCTTTCTCCCATCCCTTATAAAACCATTGTCTCCCCATCTCCTATTGCCAATTCGAATTCTTGATGAACCTCTGGCAAAATAAGTTTCGTCTTCTTCATCATCTTCTTCATTTTGAATATGCTCTGCATAATAGTAATAAGAAAGATCCTCCTCTTCATATGCATCTTCGTGAGCTTCTATCGCAAGGGGAATAAACCAAGAGGCTCTAAGAAGAAGGCAGACACTTTCCTCAAACATGTAATCATGGATACTGTATGAGGAAAAGGTCAGTGTGGTTGCTATTGAACAAATAATTAATTTTAAGAAAAGAAGTAACAGGTAATAATACCAGCCATCAAGAGAACGATGGACCGTCAAGGAATCAAATGGATTCTTGCACTGAGGGCATGAAGGATTTTTCTTGTATGTTGCCCATCTTAGGATACATGTTAAACTGCTCAACAAAAAGTATGAAAATTAAAATGCCATAAATAAAACTAATGTTATTTGCACTTTGTGCTAGTAAGCATTAGCCAAGTGCAGAAAATCATAGACCACCAACATCTAAGGATCCCAAAATAGGTATCCATCAAAACCGATAAGTGAAATCAAACAGAAGCAAGTTCACAAAAAAAACTATTTTTTTATTAGGAAACCGACAAGATACCAGTAAGCACGTATTTAAAATCATCAAATTGCTATTTTTCAAAAGGAATGTATCAACCGTTATATGTCTAGCACTCAATGACATGATACAAACCTAGAGTAAGATGATGCGTCAGGGCGAAAAAGACCAGATCATCAACATTGAAAAGTAGAAAATGGATCACAAAAGTCATTACTGTAAATCCATTTCAATAATCCAAATGTCAATCTACAACTGTTGCTAAAAAGCAATAACAAACAGCTAAGCTTAAAAATTTTTAAGGGTGAGTTTGTTTGAGAAGGTGAATCAATAATATTTACATGCTTGATTTTTTTTCCTACTGTTTTTTTCTTAAACTATTTGTCCAAAAAGTCAGTAATATCCAAATTGTAGGAATGCAACAGTCCTGATTTCCAATCACAATGTAAATCCAGTTCGTTTCATCTTTAATTCAACACTAATGAGTATATCTATATTGCAAGAGAAGCACATCCAGGAAACATAAATTCTTTATTAATCAAACTATTTTCAAGATTTCCGTTTATGATCCATCAACAACAAAATTTTAAGTCCACACAATCATAGTGCATCCTATATAGAATGAAAAATAATCTAATTCTAACATTAATCGTCAACAACTTTCAACACAAGAAAAAAAATTTCATTTCAAATGTGGAATTTTTTTTTTGAGGAGGTGAATCAATCAGGCTTAATGATATCTTTTTTATTGTTTTCATTGAACTATTTGTTCAAAAAATCAATAATATCCAAACTGTAGGAATGAAACAGCCCTGATTTGCAATACAACATAACTCCAGTTCACTTTATCATTGTTCCAACATTAATGAGTATATCTATATTTCAAGAGAAGCACGATCAGAAAAGTTAATTTTTTTTATTAATCAAACTATTTTCAAGATTCTCCTTTAAGATCCATTACCAATAAATTCTTCAAGTCCACGCAATCATAGTGCATCCTATATAGAAAGTAAAAAATTATCTAATTCTAACATTAATCTAAAAGCTGATATCTTATAGAAGACTCGTTAAAAACAAAATATTCACAACCATTCTAAAAAAAAACTTCATGTCGAATGTCTGAATAATTGCCTGCTTATTTCTTTAAGATCTTGTGTACAAGGTTGCATATGGCATGTTTCCTGATTTCAAATGTAAGTGGAAAATATAGCAGGAAATTGAATAAGTACATGCAAGACTAAAAAATGGGAAACTAATCAATTACAATAATTATGCATTTATTCATTTGCATGCCCGTCAAGATAGAACTTTAGTCTGAAAGTCCAATATTGTTGCTTAATGTAGAGAAACGAGTGCACCAAAGTGATTTAATAAGTGCACCAGCTAATTAAATTCAAATGACACATAGGTCTGGGAAAGAGGTGCCATTTTGAGCTTGCTCCCAAATAAAATGATAATAGTCAAAGGCCCAAATGTTTCATCCATAAGTGAAAAACAGGATTCACACTGAGATGAGTAGTATCCATGTTATCACAACAGATCATCGAAGACTGAGGAAAGTAGATGCCAAGTTCGATGAGTAGAAAGCAAACCCAACGAAGCTCAATATCTATGGTGTAAAAAAAAAAAAAAAAAAAAAAAAAAAAGTAATATTCAGACTTGGTGGAGGAGTGGGCTATAAATACTTTGTTTTTTAAAACTCCAAGAGATGAGGTTTTGACAAAGATACATGATATGAGCACTATAGAAGTGAAGTCATCTTTCTTACATGCCCAATTGACATCAGAAAATGCATAAATTTAAAGTGCGGGATCGCATATGTAAGATGGTTGATGTGAAACGGACATAATTGCCCCTAGGGCCAACATAAAGCAAAGCCCTCAAGTGAGGGTAGAAATGGAAAAGTACAAATAACAAATAAAATACATAAATAGACACGATCGTAGCCGTTGATCTTCGATGTCCTCATCAATGGTCTATTTTGATGGAACTTGGGGGTTAATCCATGAACACATTCTTAGAGAGATGGCCTTGGAAAAAGACATTATTCATATCGAGTTGACTAAGAAATCACCTTGATAGTAGTTCCAAGAACCGATCATACTATAATAGGCTTGACAATTAGAGCTATCATGATAACCATATTTTGAACTAATCAATAGAGGCATCAAAGTTATGTTGATGTAAGAAAATTCACTTGGACCCAACAAAATTTTGAGAAAAGGCAAGGAACAACTTCTTGTGTTCCACTTTGAACAAGCACATTGTATTCTTCCGACATGGCTCAACACCATTTATAATCATTGAGTGCTTGGGTTATAGTAGTGAGTTTAAGGTTAGGTGATTAGTTTAGTTTTGCAAGAGTGAGTTTTTGAATATGTTTGTGAATGTTTTTTTTTTTTTTTTTAAATTATTATTGGCTAAAATGAGTATTGGATGAGTGTTATAGTGATGAGAGGGAGTAGTTAGGTGCTGAGATTTATCGTGATGGGAGGGAGTATTTACGTGTTGTGGTTGCAGAAGAGGATCTTGGGTTGGTTGTGTAAGGGAGGTTATGAGATTTGGTGCGTTTTGTTTGTTGTGGATGATGCATACGAAGAGAGGACACCACGGGAGATTATTTTTTCAAAGGTGTTATGAGAAGAAGAATAGTGCAATCTTGAAACCAGGTCTCCAAATCTTAGAGAGACCAACTTGCCATCAATATTTTGTGGACTTAAAATCAGCACAATTTAGAATAAAGTTTAAGATAATAAAACTCAATATTCTGTGGCTCTTAAAGAAAGTACTTATTTACTCTCCTTACTGTCTTACACCATCAAAACTTGCAGCAGGCCAAAAATCCAGTGGGGAAAAAATATAGAAACCCTAAAATGAAAAGTAAAGACAAACCAGTACGCGTGCTCGCAACCTTTTACAAGAGCCGTCTCCTGGATCAATATCTTCTCCAAACAAATAGCGCAAACCACATGACCTTCAACCAACCCCCTTGAATCCGTCCACCTAGTATGCTCCCCTTCCCCCACGACCTACCGAACCAAAGCAACAAAGGGCACACACATCAGAAACAATCAGATCCAACTTCCAAATCCCAAAACAATATATAAACAAGAAGAAATAACTCGAACCACATATCGGAGGAAGAACAGTTACCAGCTTCCCAAAGTCGGCGCTGAGATCACTTCCCATCTTCGCTTCCATGGGCGACGCTTGGATAGGACAGGACGGGAAGATCGGAAGCGGCGTGGGGGACAAAGAGGAGGGGAAGGAAGCTGAAGCCTACACCAGAGTAGAGAGACGGCGAGGGGCGGCGACTGTAGAGTTGAGAAGAGAGACGATACGCGATACGCGTAACTTTCTACCCGAGAGATGATAAGACGTCCTGCTTGCGTTGGAAAATGAGATTTCAAATTTTAATGGACCTTAGGTGATTTCGAATGTATGTGGGCCTAAACTTTAATGGGCTGTTCACAAACGTTGTTGGGCTTTAGCTTTGAAAGTTGTTTACTTGTTGAAGAGATATTTCAAGGAAAAGAATCTTACGAAATTATAATTTGATCCTCTAATGGCATAATGAGAATATAAAATGAGAGTAGTGAAAGTGAGGTCAAATTTAGAGAGAGAAAAACTTTGATCATATTGATAGTTAGAAGAGAATTAAAAAATATTGTTTTCATATCATATATAATCATATAAGAGTTTTTTCAATTAGTCTTAGCATTTCTAATTCCTTCGCTTGACTTAACCACAACATAATTCAATTATGTTTGATTTGAAGTAAAAGGGGTATACAAGAATTCTAAATGTAAAGATTATGAAAATATTGAGATTCAGTCTGAAATAAAAGAAATGTAGAGTAGCATTATGAAGTATTTAAAACGCAACCTCCTTCAATTATGATGTATTAAAAAATCATTAGATTTGATCAATTTCAAAATACACTTTAAATTTTGGGTTATTGTAACCAAAAAAGTCACAACTACCACCACCTCTGTCGTCACTGCCTGGCAAACCATCTTCGGCCCACCACTGGCCACCGCTCATGCCATCATTGTCTTTAGCCCATCCCCCCATCCCCCCATCAATTCTGAATACTAATATATTTTAAGTTTATTTTATATTAATATTTTTTAAATAAGCTGGCTCACTAGCTAACATGTCAAGTCAGGGTTTAACTCAAGCTTATTTTGTTAGCTCATCAAGTTCAGTATATAAGCCATTTATCGAATCGAGCCCAAACCAACTCACAAGTCTGCTTGACTCGCTTGCAACTCTAATAGTATTCCTTATACAACGTATTCCATTTTACAGTGTATTTCATTTTCAATAATTTAAATGACCCCAATATCAAAATATATTGATGCAATCTATATCAAACTAATAAGACAATATGTAAATATTATTCAATAAATGCTCAAAATTATAAGATAATTAAACTTTTTATTAAGATAAAATTAATCTATGATAATGAAATTGTGAAATATAACTATTTCATTGAGTTTGAAAATTTCTTAAATATTAATTTTTTTTTATTTGAATATAGAGAGATGCAGGTGATGATGACAATAGCTAGGTGTCACGATCAATTTTTAGGTGAGAAATGAAAGCTATGGATGAAGATTTTGGAGGAAAAATATATATTTGCAATAATTTTTTTTTTGGACATTTAGGTTTCGTTTGGGACGATTTTTTTACTATTTTTTAAAGTAATTTTTTAGTACAAAAATTAAAATTTTTATATTAGAAATTTGTTTTAAGAAGCAGTAAGAAAGACGTCCCAAACAAAGCCTTAGGCCAATTAAGGCAGACTCATACATATATCGCATACACAAGACTCGAATCCGAAACCTCTTAGTTGGCAGCCTAAGATCTCAACCAACATACCAAGAAGAACAATGTCATTTAATAATATTTTACTGATGCAAATCCCTGTCAAATTAATGAACTCAAAGATTTGCTTTGACAATTATTGAGATTCTTTGAGATTAATGTGTTTTTCAAGACTTTAATTTCGTGGCCTAAAACATAATCGCGTGTTGATCATTTGCTAATCGTGTTTAAGAATTTTGTCACTAAATACAAATAATTAATGCATGCATCTATTGTAGTCATAGTTGAAGTGGATCTGTGGATGTTATTAGAAGAGACAATGACTATTCAAAGACCCTTTATTTTCTTAAAGAATTCAAAATCTTTAAAAAAATTGTTTTAATATAAAAATAAACTTAGGTTTCATTTGGGACGGCTTAAAATTTTTGTACTAAAATCCTATTTTAAGAAGCAATAAAAAAGCCGACCCAAATGAAGTTTTAGGCTTCATTTGGGGCGGCTTTTTAATTACTTTCTAAAATAATTTTTTAGTACAAAAATTTTTTAAACTAAAAGATTATGTACTTGAAAGCTGTTTAAGAAGGCCGTAAGAATTCGGTCCCAAACGAAGCCTTAGGCTTCCTTTGGGATTATTTTCTAATACTTTTTTTTAACAACAAAAAAGTAGCGGCAAAATAGAAATTGTGATTTCGATATGAAAGATAAAGCAATAAGAAAGCTGTGCCAAATAAAATTATAATGTAATTGTGAATTATAATTAACATAATTATTTATAATTGTTATCTCTTATTATTGTACGGCTTATATTTTATTGCATGTTATATTTAATCTAGAGGAGTCTACTAAGTTGAAGCACAAAAATAATGAATTTCTAGCATCATAATTGACACGTTCATGTTTATGAATACATAATAAGACACGAGACCTTCAAAAGCTACACAAAGGGCTATATCAAAATAAGATATGAAAAAAGGAGGGTGAAATTCAAAACTTTAATTCATTTTATAAGAATTTTCTAGAAAAAATGTTATTCTTTTGAGAATAGGATCTCATTTAAGAGGTGTTTAAATCACTAAATATTATATTTATATACAAATGCATTATATACCTCATGCGGCTTAGCTGGTTGGTGTGCGAGCATGGTTGAAAACCCCCAAAATCATGTTTGATTCCACTCTCATGAGGCGCGATCCCTTCTATGGGGAGGAAATAACTGTAGATCCTGCACTTGTGGGGCTGGCTGCTGGCAGGCTCGCTGAGAGAATAATTACGCTGCCAAACGCCTCCTATGAGGGTGGCAGCTGATAGTAGGGGTGTCAATTTTTGACATGACCCGAAACACGATCCAAACCTAACCCGAAAAAATCCGGGTTATGGACAACCAGGACCCGAAACGGGTAGGGTTCGGGTTCAACAAATCAACTCGTTTTAAAAATCGGGTCGGATTCGAGTTGACCCAACAACCTGAAAATGATCCGAAAATGACTCGAAATTGACACGAAAACTCCTATTTGACCCGGAAACCCGATATTGACCCGTTTTTTACCCGATTTTGACCCGAAAATCGAAGATTAACCCGATTTTTGACCAGAAAACTAGCAATTTTAGGTCAACTTCGGGTCATTCGTGTCGGATCGTGTTTGGGTTTGAAAACCTGACCCATTTTTTAAAAAGGGGTCGGGTTCGGGTTGACCCAAATAGTGTCGGGTCAATTCCAAATTCGACCCAAACCCAACCCGTTGACCCGAATTGACACCCCTTGCTGATAAATTCCCCGATTTTATGTATATAGCTAGCACTATAAGCTTTATCACTACCCAACCAACCTCACCCTCTCTCTACAACATTCAAACTCTATTTCTATCTCCTTATAATTAATTTAGAAAAGCAAAAATATCAAGAAGAGAAGAGGCAATCAAAGCAAGTGAAGAAGAAAATAAAAAGTTAAGAATAATCTTCAATAATTAAGAAGACTTGCTTATGGGCTAATTAAACTCTAATTTTCACAAATTTCATTCATTACATCTCATCGATGCACACTTCTTTACAATCATACCAATTCTCTCAATAATTCCTTTTTGGCCCCACCCTACAAAAAGAAAATCATAATTTACAATCTACTCCTATATTAAAACTTCACCATCATTCTTATAATGTAATAAATGATTACATATTATTTAATCTTAAAAAGTTTTTAATAATAAAAATTAAAGTAAGACACAAACTTTTGCAAATAAACCCTACAATCCCTCAAGCATATAGTCTAGAATTCTAGAGAAAGTCACCAATAATTATCCCTTTAAACTCAAATCAACATCATTAATGATGATTTGACAAAATGAAAAATATCAATAAAAAAATTTGCAATTCATCAACTCTAAATTAACTTTTTTTTTTACTAAAAAGGAGATATAGCCCTTAGCGGATAATAAATCAAATACCGTTAACAATTGTAGTTAACATGATATGATATACTTTTTTATTATTCTCATCATTGCTCAATCATAAAGCATGAATACTTTGCTCTTGATGTTTTATTAAAGCTTCATATTTTTGTCTTGGCTTGTTGTGTGCACTGTATGTTCTCCTACATGGCCAAAAATAATTTCTTCTCTCTTCTAGTTCTTAAATTCCTCACCAACAAACGAGGCTTCAACACCTTAGCATGTAATAATTTGCTCTTGAGGCTTAAATAAGTAGCGATGAAGATAAAATACATCATCTTTTTGTACACTATATTCTATCCAGTCAAGAAATTCTTCAAACCATTTTGAGTTAAATCTGCATGAAATATTTTTTATCATTGTTTAAGGGAAATGATGATTTTTTTTGTTGATATGGTCCTTTCAATAAATAATCTCTACGAATTTTCTCTCTCATTGATATTGTAACTCCAAATTGATGGTCGAATGATAGGATCAGCAAAGAGAATTTAATATCAATCTCAACACATTCTTTCCTCTTAAAAAAATATTCCATTTGTAAAAAGCCTGACAATTATCTTATAAGTTCTGTAACCTAATGTGGCAAAAAAAAAAAACAATAATAATCAATACTTGTCACTTTGATTATGTTAACAACATATACTAAATTTAATATTATCATAGAAGGTGAAAGAATTGGCTAAAAAAATCATCTCATTTGTTGCTTTATAATATGCTCGTGATATAAATTTTTCCTTATAATCATATCCGTGTTTCACTATTTAATATGAATCATGAACATGCAAGCTAACAAGTAGACCCAAATTTAATGCAAATTTGGATTCACGGGCTATTTATCGAGCCAAGCTCAAGTCTCCTCACAAGTCAATTTGAGTCACTTATACCGCTAACTTTATTATCATAAAATGATCAATAAATCAACTATGAAAAACCCATGTAGTAATGTAAGAATTTCTACCTAGATGTCAATGAAAGAGTACTTCCAAAATTTGCTAGATTCTTTTATGAAAGACTTATATATATATAAAGAAAGTTAGAATTAGAACTAATGAAGTTGAAATAATTTCTATATGATTGCAAAAGTATCGTAAAAATGATTTTTTCCAAATTAAAAAGGAGG